TATTTTTTATGGGGACGCCTGGGTGGCTCAGTTAAGCGGTTGCCTTCGGCTCAGGTCATGATCCCAGGGTCCTAGAATGGAGTCCAGCATCAGGCTCCCTGCTCAGCAGGGAGTCTGCTCTCCCTCTCCCTGCTGCTCCCCCTGCTTGTACACTCTCTCTCTCTGACAAATAAATAAAATCTTTAAAAAAAATTTTAATATTTTTATGAATGAGAACTATAACATTAATAAATAACACTGAATATCAAAGCCTGCTTTCCTGCCCACAAATCTTTTTTTTAAGATTTTATTTATTTGACAGATATGCTTCTGTAGTGCAAGGTGGGAAGAAAGGGAAGATGAAGAGGGTGCAGCTTCATTTTTAAGTGAAATCTCCCTCCACTGAATCATGCTAAATAACTCTCACTTTGAAAATAATGGTGATAAGGGGCGCCTGGGTGGCTCAGTCGGTTAAGCGACTGCCTTCGGCTCAGGTCATGATCCTGGAGTCCTGGGATCGAGTCCCGCATCGGGCTCCCTGTTCGGCAGGGAGTCTGCTTCTCCCTCTGCCCCTCCCCCCTCTCATTTGCTCTCTCTCATTCTCTCTCTCTGAAATAAATAAATAAAATCTAAGAAAAAAAAAAAAGAAAGAAAATAATGGTGATAAGAAACAAAGCCCCAGAATCACTTGGAACTAAATTCCTAAGAAAAGGGTTCTTAAACTCATTTGCCTATTTATCAGGAAAGTTGTGGGTTTTTTGTTTTTGTTTTTTTTTTTAATAATCACATCCAGGGGTGCCTGGGTGGCTCAGTCGTCTCTGGTCATGATTTCAGGGTCCTGGGGATTGAGCCCCACATCAGGCTCCCTGCTCGGCGGGAAGCCTGCTGCTTCTCCCTCTCCCACTCCCCCTGCTTGTGTTCCCTCTCTCGCTGCGTCTCTCTCTGTCAAAAAAATAAATAAAATCTTTTAAATAAATAAATAAATAAACAAACAAACAAATAAATAAATAATCGCGTCCATTTTAAAAGAATCAGAACTGGCACAAACAAAAACAAAAACACTAACATATTCTTCCCAAGAATAACATCTCTCTCCAGATCACTGTATAGACAGACGTTTGTTTTTAAAAATCACTGATTGGAAAAAAAAAAATCACTGAGGGGTGCCTGGCTGGCTCAGTCAGTAGAACATACAACTCTTGATCTCAGGGTTGTGAGTTCAAGCCCACATTGGGTATAGAGATTGCCTACAAATAAAATCTTAGAAAAAAAAACCACTCTCCTAAAACTAATACTACACTACATGTTAACTAATTTGAATTTGAATAAAATCTTGGAGGAAAAAGAAACACTGACTTACAAATAAATTATTCATGGATTCATAGGGCTTAGTCTGGATCGCGTAGACAGGTAAAGTCTAGCGGAAGAAGTGAAATTTAAGCTGAGCCAAAAGTGAGAAGCTAACCAGGGTGAAGCTCTGAGGGGAAAGCATTCTAGGCCAAGGGAACTGCATGGGCAAAGGCACCACACAAGACTTAGTTAAGGAGGGGCACCTGGGTGGCTCAGTTGTTGGGCTTCTGCCTTGGGCTCAGGTCATGCTCCCAGGGTCCTAGGATCGAGCCCCGCATCGGGCTCCCTGCTCAGCGGGAAGCCTGCTTCTCCCTCTCCCTCTCCCACGCCCCCTGCTTGTATTCCCTCTCTCGCTGTCTCTCTCTCTGTCAAATAAATAAATAAAAATCTTCAAAAAAAAAAAAAAAGAAAGACTTAGGTAAGGAATGGAAAGATAAATGGCTTGAGCAGGGAACCCAAAGGGGAGAGTAGCAAGCAACTGGGTGATAGATTTCTTGATTAGCATTTCTTGATTAGCATTTGAAAATGATCATAATCTTTTTTTATGTTAAAGGTTTTTTTTTTATTTTATTTATTTATTTGAGAGACGGAGAGCACAGAGGGAGAGTGAGAAGGAGAAGCAGACTCCTTACTGAACATACTCCCCGAAACTGATCATAATCTATCTATAATCAGCCTTCCAGAGCACCTGGGTGGCTCAGTCGTTAGGCGTCTGCCTTGGGCCCAGGTCATGATTCCAGGGTCCTGGGATGGAGCCCGGCATCGGGTTCCCTGCTAGGCGGAAAGCCTGCTTCTCCCTCTCCCTCTGCTGCTCCCCCCGCTTGTGTTCCTGCTCTCGCTCTCTCTCGCTCTGTCAAATAAATAAATAAAATATTTTTTTAAAAGTAATAAATAGGGGCACCTGGGTGGCTCAGTTGGTTAAGCGACTGCCTTCGGCTCAGGTCATGATCCTGGAGTCCCAGGATCGAGTCCCGCATCGGGCTCCCTGCTCATCAGGGAGTCTGCTTCTGCTTCTGACCCTCTCTCCTCTCATGTTCTCTCTCTCATTCTCAGATAAATAAATAAAATCTTTAAAAAAATAAAAAATAAAAGTAATAAATAATAAAATCAGCCTTCCTTTAGGTTGTTTTTAAAGACTCATAAAAATAGACTAACACACACAAAAATTCAAATAAAAGCAAACAAAAAGGCAAAATATTCAAGTGATATCATTAGAATAAAGATGAAATTTCTTTAGAACTCCTGTAAGCAAGAGATTATAGCACTTCACACCCCCTAAAACTTTCACACCATTTATATATCCTGCTAAACTTCCACAAAGGTGCTCAGAATTTACTTTACACTTTCTGGTGATGGGCAATTTCTAGGCTTTCAAGTACTTTTGTTGTAAATACCCTGAGGCACTTTTGCTATACTAGCAGACTCTTAGGCTCTGTATTAAAGGCCACAACTGGAGCACTCCCAGAAAATTAAACACAGAATTCACTTGTGCATATTGGCCTAAGAAAGACTGAATTTCTGGAGACTGCGTAAAACTTGATTTATCATCTTACATGAAACGTGGTAACAAGGTAGTTTTATGTTTGTGGTCTGGGAATTGGCTCATCTAGCATTTCACCAACGTTCTCTATTCTCAGGTCATGGCTCTGCGCAAAGACTTCATTATAGGGGCGCCTGGGTGGCTCAGTCGTTGAGCGTCTGCCTTCGGCTCGGGCGTGATCCCAGAGTCCTGGGATCGAGCCCCGTGTCGGGCTCCCTGCTCCCCGGGAAGCCTGCTTCTCCCGCCCACTCCCCCTGCTTGTGTTCCCTCTCTCGCTGTGTCTCTCTGTCAAATAAATAAATTAATTAAATCTTTAAAAAAAAAAAAAAAGACTTCATTATACAGAATTTACAGACATATTTTAAAAAGTATAAATAACAAAAAAAGTCATTTAAAAAGTTATATACTTAAGAAATTAATATACAATCTGGTGCCTAGCAGTCAGTTTTCTTTTTTTTTTTTTTTTAAGATTTTATTTATTTATTTGACAGAGAGAGAGAGACACAGTGAGAGAGGGAACACAAGCAGGGGGAGTGGGAGAGGGAGATCATGACCTGGGATCATGACCTGAATCAAAGGCAGACGCTTAACGACTGAGCCACCCAGGCACCCCAGTCAGTTTTATTTTCTGTGTCTGCAACCTGTAGCAGGTATTTTTCTTGGCACGTGTGACCCGTGCCTGTATGAGGATGAAGACACAGCATACCAGCTCAGAAGTAGTACATGACCTCTGTCCTATAAACAGTGCTAATAAGCTACTGGAAATTGCGATCCCATCTTTAGAGTTTTTTTTCAATCCCTCCCTCCCTATATACTTGGAAATATTCTTGAAATAAAGTCAACCTTCTTTGGCAAATGCAATGCCATTCCTTTGAGACACATGGATCACAGAATCAGAACTAAAAATCATCACTATAGTCAAGCTTAAAAAAGAGAATAAAAAGAATTATGTGACCTGGTACAAAAGGTATCTGTGACCAAACAAAGTTTAAATGGGGGTACTATTTAGGGTTAGGAAATAAGCTGCTAAACAAATCTCACATCCTAATATCTTTTTTCAAGCATTTTTCAAAGAGAATATGTCGTTGGTTCAATAATTTGTTATTTAGCTTCCTTTAATCACCATGTACTTAGGTAGGTGTGCTAGATGCTCAGAAAACAAAGATGAACACTTCACCTGCACTAATAAGTTCCACAAAAATAATGCCAACACAGCCTGAAAGCTTAAATCCTTGACTGTCTCAAGAAGTCCAGGACCTATCACTTGCACTCCAGAGCTCCAAAAGGTTCACAGACCCGAGATGAGGGCACCGAGGTCACTGCCGAGATGCTAGGATTAGGGGCACCTGTAAACTGCAGTCTGAAAAAGGTTGCCAAATGTCACCTACACCTCCTCAACCCGCCCCGCCCCCAGTCCTCTTTAAAAATAAAGAGGGTTTTTAAAGGGAACTGTCCAAGGTGACCACCTGACACGGAGGAACGCTTTAGTGTGACATATCAATAAAATAAAATTGTACGCTCTATTTACAGAGCGTCGCTCTACAACATCTAAGTGTTGACAAAGTGTCAACCAAGACACAAAAAACGTAAAATAAGACCTCTTTCTTAACAGGGTTAAGACGTCAAGAAGAAACTGACCGAAAGAGGGAGATCTCTAACTTCCCAAAGCAGCAACCCCCTGGAAAGGTACTGGAACCAGCGGAAGTTACATATCCAGGACAGAAGTGTTTAAATGCCCCCCCCCCACACACACACCGTGGTAAAAGTTTGAACCGCCACCTGACTATCTTACGGTGGTCGGAAACTTCCCTAAACTACCACAGGCTACCGGCCACCCTAAAATCCCCACCCTCAGCCAGCCTCAGGTGCCCTCAGGCCAAGCTGCGGCTTCCTCCCCGGGCCTTGCCTCCTCATCTCCCTCCCTTCTCCTGGACACTCACTAGCCTGCCTCGGCTTCCGACGCCGGCCGGGGGTCCCGGGGACCTCGCGACCGCCGGGGGGGCCCGGGGGGCTTCGGCCTCAGGCCCGCCCCCGGGAGGCCCGGCGCGCCCCTCCCGGGCCGGGCCGCGACCCCCGGCCCCCCGCCCGCCCTCGGGCCCGGCCCCCGCCCTCGCCGCCGGCCGGCCCTCACCTCCTCGGCGTGCTTGCGCAGCGCCTTCTCCCGCTCGTACTGGGTGATGAGCTGCTCGTTGTCGTCCCGCAGCAGCTCCAGCTCCACCTGGTGCTCCTGGTCCTGCGCGAACACCGAGTCCAGGTTCTCCAGCACGGCCACCACCAGCGGCATCAGCTCCTTGACCACCTCCTCGTCGTAGCGCCCGATGAGCCGCTCGAACTCGCGGTAGATGGAGCCGGCCAGGCCAGACACCCGCTCCGACATCACGGCCCCAGAGCCGCCGGGCTCCTCCTGGTACACCACACCGTCCTCCAGCTCCATGGTGGCGGGCGGGCGGGCCGGCGGGCGGCCCGGGGCGTCGCCGGCTGAGGGGGCGGCACGGGCCCGCACGGGACGGGCCCGGCTGGGGCTGGGGCTGGCGCTGGGGTTGGGGCTGCGCCCGGCCGGGTGGCGGGTCCGGGCCCGAGGAGGGGAGGGGTGGGGTGAGCGCACTCAGCCCAACGGCCGCTGCACCAACTGCCGGGGCGGCCGGGCCGCGCGCGCCACACGTCACCCGCGGGGCGGGACCCGCGCCGCGTCGGCCCGATGGGCGGGGCCCCGCGGGAGGCCAGGCGCGGCCGGGGGCGGGGCCATGCGTCACCGTGCGCGGGCGGAGGGGGCGCCGTGGCGTCAACACTCCGCGCCGCGCGGCCGACCCCTTCGCCAATGGGAAAGACTGCTGGAGGAGGATGGCGAGAACTGTCAGCACCCTGCAGGATTTGCAGGGCGGGTCCCAAAGGAAAGGGAGGGGTTCTGGAAGAGGGACTCTCCGTCCAGAATTAACATAGCTAACATTTCTCTTGCCTTTTTCGGCTCACAAAGGGTTTTCTCATTTGTTCTTGCGACAGGCGTGGTGTGGTAGACGTTTGGCCTCCGTTTCACGAACAAGGAAAGTAGGCCCAGAGAAGTTGTAGTTCACTCAAGGTCACGCGGCCAGAAAGCGAAGGAGGCTGATCTGGGGCTCAAACCAGTTCAGATTAAGAATCTCGGGCTCCGAGAAAACTGGGAAACAGAGGGAGAGGGAAAGCAACCTTAACTAAGACGAGGTCTCCCTAAGTTATAAGGTGGTCTCGATAGAACTTTTTGGGGATAACGAGAGCAAGGATAGCCTAAAACAGGAAGTGTAAAGCACTCTGGAGAAGGATAAAACTGAAGCCACATCTTGCACTTTCCCAAACACTGAGTTTCTGTGCTTCTCGCGTCCAACTTGGGAGGGTGGCATTTCCGGGCTCCAGCCACCCTGCTTTCCTCTCGTCTTGAAGAGGGGCGGAGCGGGGAAGTGAGGGGTTGAGGAGTACAGGAGGAAAGGGGTGGAGTCTCTGGGGTGAGTAAGTCCCATGATACGCGAGGTCTCCGCCGCCTGGGAGAGCATCACGTGTGGGGAATGACACAACACCCAAGCCTCAGGCGGGCTGAGTCGAGGATGGCTCTCCAGTCTTTTCCTTTAACCTCTATAAGTGGGGCGGGAGACACTCCCAAAAACCCCCTCTCTTGGAGGCAGGTGACTCAGGCGTATTGAGGCCGGTCTCTTCTAAGAAGGAAGAGGAGGCAGGACTTGGATAAACGAAGGTTTAGTGAAGGAATAGGCCACTCCCAGGATCAAATACCCTCGACTCGTTTTGTAAACGAGTTCGAGTTCTTTCTACTGAGTGTGAATTATTCCCCTAAAGTCTTTCACTCTGGACCCACCTGGAGACCCACAAAAACAGTATGGATATTGGACATAGGCCAACCTATAAACTCCGAAGGACAAAACTGAAAACACTAAGACTCACAGCGGTCTGTACTGTCCCTCTTTCTCACCTCACTCCATACCCACCCTTACATTGTTTGTGTGTATGTCTGGGTCAAGACTTGCTCTAGACTCTTTTCTTTCATCTCTTCCTGAGGGCTGTCAGGTAGATAGATAGATATGTCTCTCTTTTCCTGGGAGTCAGAGGAGCAGGAAAACCTAGGGCAAGGCTTTATTTTGTCTTTCCACAATATTATCATACACATCAAAAAATTGAAGGGAGGGGTGCTTGGCTGGTTCAGTCAGTAGAGCATGAGGCTCTTGATCTCTGGTTCCTGAGTTCCAGCCCCATGTTGGGTACAGAGATTACTTTTTTTTTTTCCTTTAAGATTTTATTTATTTGTCAGAGAGAGAGAGAGCACAAGCAGGGGGAGCAGCAGGCAGAGGGAGAAGCCAGCTACCGGCTGAGCAGGGAGCTGGATGCCGGACTCCATCCCAGGACTCTGGGATCATGACCTGAGCCAAAGGCAGACCTAGGCGCCCCCCAGAGATTACTTTTAAGAAGGAAAAGAAAAAAAGGGGAAAAATGTTGATATTTTAGGTATGGGATTATAATAAAGACTTCATAATAAGTATGCCTCTTTAGGTATAAATTCAATATAGAAAGATATGAAATATATATTTATGTCTTGATTTTAAGCTTCTGCTAGCTCTCAGAGGTAATATTTAATTGTTTAAAATAAAATCCAGCCAAATATCCATCAGATGTTGAATAGATGAATAAAATATGGTGTATGCATATCTTGGAATATTTATCATTCAACAATAAAAAGAAATGAAGTACATGCTACAATATAGATGGACCTTGAAAATATTATGCTAAGAAAAAGAAACCAGTAGCAAAGGACCACATATGAAAGAACAGTGTCTGGGGCGCCTGGGTGGCTCAGTCAGTTAAGCATCTGACTCTTGATTTTGGCTCAAGTCACGATCTCCTGGTGGTGGGATTGATCCCTGGGTTCAGCTCTGTGCTCACTGGGGAGTCTGCTTGAGGTTCTCTCCCTCTCCCTTTGCCCCTCCCCGCTCAAATAAATCTTTATTTTTTTTTAAGATTTTATTTATTTATTCATAAGAGAGAGAGAGGCAGAGGGAGAAGCAGGCTCCCCGCGGAGCAGGGAGCCCGATATGGGACTCGATTCCAGGACCCTGGGATCATGACCTGAGCCGAAGGCAGACGCTCAACCAACTGAGCCACCCAGGCATCCCTCAAATAAATATTTAAAAAAAAAAAAGATCAGTGATTGCCTTGAGCTGGATGGGGTAATGAGGGAAAATGAGTGATGCTAGTGAGTATGAGGTTTCTTTTGGGGGTAATGAAAATGTTCTAAAATTGATTTGTTGATAGATACATGACTCTGAATATACTAAAAGCCATTGAGGGGTTCCCTGGGTGGCTCAGGTCATGATCCTGGGGTCCTGGGATTGAGCCCTGCGTGGGGCTCCCTGCTCAGCAGGGAGTTGGCTTCTCCCTCTCCCTCTGCCCCTCCACCCTGCTCCTGCTCGCTCACACTCTCTCTCTTTCTCAAATAATAAATAAAAAAATCTTTAAAAGCCATTGAATTGTATGCTTTAAAAAGCTGAATTTTGTGGTATGTGAATTATATTTCAATAAAGCTGTTAAATAAAAATTTATGGTTACAATGCTTTATAGTAAACTCAATAGAAGCATACAACCACGTAATAGAGTGGAAAGAAAATGGCTTTTAAATTGAGAACCGGGGCGCCTGGGTGGCTCAGTTGTTAAGCGTCTGCCTTCAGCTCAGGTCATGATCCCAGGGTCCTGGGATCGAGCCCCGCATCGGGCTCCCTGCTCTGTGGGAAGCCCGCTTCTCCCTCTCCCACTCCCCCTGCTTGTGTTCCCTCTCTTGCTGTGTCTCTCTCTGTCAAATAACTAAAATCTTAAAAAAAAAAAAAAAAAAAAAGCTTTAAAAAAAATAAAATAATTTGAGAACTTTGTAGTTCTAGTATGAACTTGTCCTCTTGAACCGGCTAATGCCAGAAACAAGAAAAGCAAATAGTTACTGTGCACCTACTGGGTGCCATTCACTGCAATAAGGATCTATGAGCCTCAGCTTCTTCATCTGTAAAATGAAAGAGGTATGTTACAGAATCTGTAAAAATTTCTTGCAATTCTATTTTGTTAAAGATTTTATTTATTTATTTGAGAGAGAGAGAGAGAGAGAGAGCACATGGGCTGGGGGGGGGGGGGGTGGGCAGGAGAGGGAGAAGCAGGCTCCCGGCTGAGCAGGGTGTCCGAAGCAGGTCTGGATCCCAGGACCCTGGGATCATGACCCCAGCTGAAGGCAGATGCTTAACCAACTCAGCCACCCAGATATGCCCCTCTATTTTTTTTTTAACTTAAGTAGGCTACACGCCCCGCATGGAATCCAATATGGGGCTTGAACTCACAACCCTGAGATCAAAACCTGAGCTATAATCAAGAGTTGGACGCTCAACCAACTGAGCCACCCAGGCGCCACTCTTGCAATTCTAAAATCCTATGATTCTTGGGGAGGGGGAGAAATAATAATAACATAACATAAAATAAAACCCTATGATTTTTTTTTTAAGATTTTATTTATTTATTTGACAGAGAGAGACACAGCGAGAGAGGGAACACAAGCAGGGGGAGTGGGAGAGGGAGAAGCAGACTTCCCGCTGAGCAGGACCCTGGGATCATGACCTGAGCCAAAGGCAGACCCTTAACGACTGAGCCGCCCAGGTGCCCAAACCCTATGATTCTTGTTGGTAGGTTGGAGTGAAAGACAGGAGAGAGGGCCTTGAGATTTAGTCCCATTAGTCAACTCCTAATTTCGGAGAGAGTAATCCTACCTCCTGTACTCAACCACCTGGATAAATTTCCAGCACCATCTAGGGCTGAGATTATTGTTAAAGACTAAGAGTCATTCAGGAAAACAGGTCATGTTGTGGACTTTAGAGTAAATGTTTATTCTTTATTCCTAAAAGGAAGGAAATTCCATTTTAAGAGATTATTGGCCTTACAAAAATAGTGAGGACACTAATGGGGGTAGCAGAGGGGAGGAGTTGATGGAGGCAGGAAGGGAGGTGTTTCTTCCGAATCACAATGACTATAATCACTGGAAGACTGAAATTACTAGTCCTGTTGTTTGTCTAGCCGTCTGGAACTTTTATGGTTATTTCTATGTGAATCAATTTCTCTGCTTTCACACTGTATTTTCCCATAAGTGGAGAGAGGGTCGGTGAAAGAAGAAGAGAAAAGAGGGCTCCCAGCTTTCAAGGCCCTCCACCTATGGCAGTGTGAAATGACAAGTAATCACAAACTAGATCAAAAACCAGAAAGTCCGTGGTGAGACAGTCTAGCTGTGGAATTCAGGGTTCTTGAAAAGTTCCAGAGGACTTTCCTCAGCCCTCAGTTTTTCCTTTGAAAGCTTTTTAAGGTGTCAGGATAAGATGCATAAATCTGTCCAGGTTCTAGTTCCAGGAAGGTCTCTAGGCAAGTGCTATTCCCTTGAACACCCCCCACTTGGAACTTTGGACTAGCAGAAATTACCTCTAAAATGAGGAAGCTGGGGCACTTGGCTGGCTCAGTCTGTGGAGCATTCAACTCTTGATCTCAGGGTCCTGAATTTGAGCCCCACTTTGGGCCTAGAGCTTACTTTAAAAAAAATAAAAAATAGGGGCAACTGGGTGGCTCAGTTGGTTA